GCCAAATTAGGCTAATGCCTTCTGCCTGCCCTTCATCCGTACCCCTCCAATCCTCGCATGTCCGTGTGCTTTTCAGGGACAGGGATAGCACGGGGTTAGATACAAAAACGGTGTTGTTTTATTACCCACCATCCGCAGCAACAGAAACAGCTCCCCCAGCACCCGGCCCACCTCTGCCCCTTTTGGGAGTGTGGCTGGCTTGCGTTGGCGGTGTTGATTGGTTGAGGTTGTTGCCGAAGCGATCGTGCCAGGGAAGGATGACTCCTCCCAAGGCTTGGTGTTGAACTGTTCAAAATGGCCTCCGTGCCTGGGCCTGTGCTTCTGGCTTCCACAAGGTCTATGGGACGGTTCACCTGTCACCGTTGGAGATTGCAACGCAGTGATCGAGAATAGGGAGTCGGAGTCGGAGGTGGGGTTGGGGGGGGTGGGGGTGTGGGGGCTTGACGGGAAAGTAGAGCTGGCATCACAACCAAATCCGCCGTGATCATGGTGGAGCAGACGTTTGAGGGGCGGAATGGCCCACGCCTGCTCCAGTTACGCTGCTGTTCATTGGAGCTTGCTACACTCCAATCATTTCTGTCCCTGTCCCTGTCCCTGGGGAGTGTTTGATGGGGGGGACAGTGTAGAGGGGGCTATACTCTGTATCTAACCCCGTGCTGTCCCTGTCCCTGGGGAGTGTTTGATGGGGGGGACAGTGTCGAGGGAGCTTTACCCTGTATCTAACCCCGTGCTGTCCCTGTTCCTGGGGAGTGTTTGATTGGGGGGGGGGGAACAGTGTAGAGGGAGCTTTATTCTGTATCTAGTCCCGTGCTGTCCCTGTCCTGGGAGTGTTTGATGGGTGGACAGCGTAGAGGGAGCTTTACTCTGTATCTAACCCCATGCTGTCCCTGTCCCTGGGGAGTGTTTGATGGGGGGGGACAGTGGAGAGGGAGCTTTACCCTGTATCTAACCCCATGCTGTCATTGTCCCTGGGGAGTGTTTGATGGGAGGGGACAGTGTAGAGGGAGCTTTACCCTCTCTCTAACCCCGTGCTGTCCCTGTCCCTAGAGAGTGTTTGATGGGGTGGGGAGGACAGTGTAGAGGAAGCTTTACTCTGTATCTAACCCAGTTGAAATCAGTCCCCCCTCCCCCCCTAGGGTACTTACTCTGGTTTCTGGAGGCACATGGTCAGAGGTTTGAGTGAGGTGTTGAGGGGGGGGGG